CAGGCAGACCTGGACAGGTTGGACAAATGGGCAGAAAACAATAGAATGCATTTTAACAAGGAGAAATGCAAAGTGCTGCACTGAGGGAGGAAAAATGTCCAGCACACCTACTGCCTAGGAAATGACTTGCTTAGTAGCATGGAAGTGGAAAGGGATCTTGGAGTCATAGTGGACTCCAAGATGAACATGAGTCATCAGTGTGACGAAGTCATCAGAAAAGCTAACTGCATTTTATCATGCATGAGCAGATGCATGACAAACAGAACCAAGGAGGTGATACTTCCCCCCTATCAGATACTGGTCAGACTGCAGTTGGAGTGCTGCATGCAGTTTTGGGCGCCACACTTCAAGAGGGATGTGGATACCCTGGAGAGGGTCCAGAGAAGGGCCACACGTATGGTTAAGGGCTTGCAGGCCCAGCCCTATGAGGAGAGACTAGGGCACTTGGACCTCTTCAGCCTCCGCAAGAGAAGGTTGAGAGGCGACCTTGTGGCTGCCTATAAATTCATCATGGGGGCACAGAAGGGAATTGGTGAGGCTCTACTCACCAAGGCACCCCTGGGGGTCACAAGAAATAATGGTCATAAGCTAGCAGAGGGCAGATTTAGACTGGACATTAGGAAGAACTCCTTCACAGAGTGGCCAAGGTCTGGAATGGGCTCCCAAGGAAGGTGGTGCTCTCCCCTACCCTGGAGGTCTTCAAGAGAAGGTTGGATGGGCATCTGGCTGTGGTCATCTGAACCCAGCACTCTTTCCTGCCTATGCAGGGGGATGGACTCAATGATCTATTGAGGTCCCTTCCGATCCTAACATCTATGAATCTATGTATGACCATGTCCAAATAGTTTAACTATGGCTATATCAACATGAGCTCTATACAAAGCTCAAGAAATGTGAGTTTGACTGGGCCTCCATAGAATTCCTAGGTTTTATCTTGTCAGCAGAAGGGGTTCAGCTCTACATGGCTTGGTTGAGTCATGAAGCATTCAAGATATCCAAAGGTTTATAGGATTTACAATCTTCTGTCTTCATTTCATTCCCAAATTCTCTCAAGTGGCTGTCCCAGTTATAGACATCCTGCACAAACGAGCCAGGTTTCATTGGCCCCAAGAGGCTCAACTGGCCTTCCAAATACTAAAAGAGGTTTTTATATCAGCACCCACATTGGTACACTCAAATCCAAAAACCTTTATTGTGGAAACAGATGTGTCAGATGTATCCATTGGGGATGTACTGTACTGCAGCATAAACATAAACATAACTAAACATAAAGATAAACATAAACATAACTAAAGATACATGATAACTAAAGATACAGCCTGGCACAAGGAGGGATAGGTTTGCTGCCCATGGCAGGACATCTGGATTGACGTGTAATTTTTGTTAGGCTGTAGGAAGGGAACACAGTGAACAGTGGATTTTGCTTTCCTTTTGAGAAATTATATTGTGCACTCCCATTAGCTGTCTGGTACACGGGGTGGGGGAAGCATCTGTCTGTATGTCTTCCCTATTAAGTGCAGCCGGCTAAATCATGGCCTCCTTAAGTGGATACCTGTATTCCCTATTTCCTCCACAAGTGTAGGGCCAGATGTAAAATGACTCGAAACATGTTTATTTGCTATTTGGGAAATCCGTAATTTTGCCACCAGGCAGCTGCTGGCACTGTAAATGTAATTTAGGAAGATAGGTATATTGAGCCATAGGGTTTCCAAGTATTTTTGAGTCCTGTTTCAGCTCTCTCTGCATGTTTATTTACTACTGTGTTTATAGCATTCATTAAAGCTTTTCAGTTTGTCTGAAAGACATCTGATAAACTTTCATGGATACTAATGTCCTGTTTTAATCTGGAGAATGGGTACAGCCAAAGGCAGCTTCAGTGTCACATTTCCCACACTATTCCCTCAGTATGTCTCCACTCTGTCCTAAAGGGGTTACTGTTGGGAGCCAGAGATCTTAAATTAGGTCCCATGCTCACATAGTCCTTTCACTGTTTTGCTGAGAATAACATAGATAACATAGATGCTCTTTAGGGACAGTTGTAGTGGCAAAACACCTGTTGTTAGGGTCTGGGCTGAAATCAACTTGTTTTGTCTAGGCTAGGGGTGACCAACCTGTAGCACAGGTGCCACAAATGGTGCTAGCAGTCTCTATGTGTGACATGGGAGATCAGGGAGGGGGCAGGCAGCACAGCAGCAGATACAGCAGGAAGCAGGAGGCTGAGCAACTGTTCAGGCAGGAGAAGGAGACTGGAGTGGCAGGGGGGGAGGGGGGCACACCTGTCAAAAGGTTGGTCCTAACTAGGCCACTGAGCCTCGTTAACACTTTTTGGCCACTAAGCAACTGTTCTAGATTTAAACTAAAGGTGAAGGACTCTGGTATCATACTTCCAATTCTACAAGTCATTCAGTTCCTCAGAACACATGCATACTTAAAATGATTAAAGACAAAGGTAAATGACTCTATCACTTGGTGATAGAAAGGTGCCCTACATTTGCATAGGCAGATGTGTTGTGTGAGACAGTAACCTGACTCCTGCCATCATGATGTACTGGTATGTTCAAGAAGCAGACATTTCCCCAAGGAGAATGGGAATGAAATATAAGCACTTCTACTATGGACCTGTTTTCAGTTGATTTGGGGGATCAGTAACTGTTCTGAGATTTATATTAATGTATTCTGCAGTGAGGTCCTGAACTGGAGTTTTGGTCATTTCAAAGGGATTTCATTTAAAAAAATTGGGCAGATCCTCACCTAGTGCAAGTCCATGCAGATTCAATTTACCCCTGCTGGGGTTCTGGCTAGTTTAAATTCCTCTGATAGTGCCTCACTTCTCTGCTGACTCTAATCACTCAATTCTTTGTGATGCCTCCAGAACAGACCATTGGCTGGGCAAACCACCTTCCAAAGCAGCAGTTGCTCACTTGGTTTCTCATTCTATGCTTCTCCCTGGTTTCTGCTGGGTGAACTGAGTGGGAGGGGACATTTCCTTTAACCACCTAATCAAATATAGACTGAGAAAGTAATGTAAAAAGTAATGGCTCACCAAGGGCGTCCGGGAATGCCTGCTTGCCAAAAAGGCGGCGTATGCCCGGTGGAAGGGGGGTGAAATCTCCAAAGAAGAGTATACCTCCTCTGCTCGGGCCAGTAGGTGAGCTGTTAGGAAGGCCAAGGCGGACATAGAGCTCAGATTAGCGTCCAAGATTAAGGATAACAAAAAGTCCTTTTTCAAATATATTGGGAGGATGAAGAAGGCGCCGGGTAATGTGGGACCCCTGCAGGATACGCTGGGCAATCTGGTGGTTGCGTCAGAGGAGAAAGCGGACCTCTTTAACCAATTCTTCACCTCCGTTTTCTTGTGCAGGGACCGGGACTTCCCTGCTGTGATAGAAGCCGGACTC